ACCTTAGAGATAATTTAGCACGAACCACTCATTTTATAGGTGAGGACGTTGAGACAGGGTAGCAAGTGGCAGCGTTGAGATTTGAACGCAGGTCCTCTTTGTTGTTGTTCAGTGTCATGTCTGACCCTTTGTGACTCCATTTGGGGCTTTCCTGGTAAAGATACTGGAGTGATTTGCCATTTCTTTCTCCAATGAACCCATTGTCAGGCAATCAGAGGTTAAGTGACTTGCCCAGCTAGGAAGTATCTGAGGCTGGATTTCAACTCGTCTTCCTAATCCTAGACCCACTGTTCCATCCACCGAGCTACCAGTTGCCTTTTTAGGTCCTCTTACTGCATATCATTGCTCATTCCACTGCATCTTACAGCCTCAATCCCTTGGATGTTATTCTAGTTTTACAAGGAGGCCAGGGCCGAGCCACTAGTCCTAAAATTGATTCTCTTCATTCTAAAGAGAGAGCAATGCCTTCTGTTTCAGTGTAAAATGTATTGCCATAAAGAGATAAGATTCCTGATTTAAACTGGTCTTATGTGTACCAAACTTTCCATTAATTCTGACCAGCTCATAGCAGTACAAAAATATCCAACAACTGCAAATATGAATTCTGGCTGAATTTCAATAAAAATAGAACTTCATAAGCACATAGATTTAGAGCCAGATGGGAAGTTATCAGATAAGTTAAGCGATCAGATCCAATCCCCTCATTGTGGCAGACGGAATCTTGGCTGGGAGAGCTTACCTAAGTTGTCTGATTGCCTCAGTTTCCTCATGTGTAAAATGAGCTGGAGAAGAAAATGGCAAGCCATTCCAGCAAATGGCAGAGAAAGGATATACACACAAGTCCTGGGACCCTAAATCCAATATTTTCAACTGTATCACAATTTGTCCAAGTCAGCAAATGTGCATGGCTATAAAAGGAATTTTTTTTAGGTGACCCGTCTTAGAAAAATGAAAGCATGAACAAAGCAGTGGAGAAAAAGAAAAGATATGATTAGACCAGGAGTTCTTAATGTGTGTGTGTGTGTGTGTGTGTGTGTGTGTGTGTGTGTCCTAGACCCCTTTGGCAGTCCAAAGGTGGACAACTTTCTCAGAATAATGTTTTTAGATGTATAAACAGAGGTTCCAATACAATTTCAATTTTACTGAAATACAAGTATCAAAATAAAATAAAAAAAACCCACCAGGTTGATAGACCCAAGGTTAAGAAACTCTTGGTTAGATTAATAAATAGGACATTTTCAGATTATATATATATATGTGTGTGTGTGTGTGTGTGTGTGTATACATATATATACACTATATACACACACACATACATGCACACCCATATGTATGTGTATTTATATATAATATATACATATACTCATACACATATATGCATGCATATACATATACACACACACACACACACACACACATATATATATATATGTGTATATATATATATATATATATATATATATATATATGAATAATAGGTTTACTATGGAAGATGCAATAGGAACCAAATAGAAAGAAAATAAGCATTTATTAAGTGCTTACTATGTCCCGGGAACTGAGCTGAGCTCATTACAAATGTCTCATTTGATCCTCACAGCAATTCTAGGAGGTGCTATTCTCTCCCTTTCACAGTTGAAGAAACTGGAGCAGACAGGTTAAATGATTTGCTCAGGGTCACACAGCTAGTACATGTCTAAGACTTCCTGAATCCAGGTCAAGCTCCCGATCCACTATGCCACCTAGCTTCCTCAGTTAGATTTGCGATTACACACATCTGTGATTTCATTTATTCCTGCAAACATTCTAAGGACATTTTAACTGACCAGTGTTTTGACTTGTGAGTGTCTCTGCTCCACACTTACAGGCAGACTGGACATCAGAGATCCACCCACCAAAGGTGGTTTTCATTGTACTGGACCACTCCAAGGCCCTGGGCCCTCACTCTTGGTATCTTCTACCTCTCTTTCTGTGCCCATCTCCCACCCCTTACTCTCATTCTGTTCTCCTAATGTTCAGAGGTGCCTTCTCAGGGGAATCTTACCCAGGCTTATTTTTCCCAAAGTACTCAGAAATTACCTCTTTCTCTGGCTCCCTTCCACATCAAGCCTCCATTTCTGTAGCATTGAGTTCGGTGGTCAACAATCTAATTATAGTATCTATTTTAACAAGTGGAACTAACTAGATATTTGCACATGAAAGACAGGCAATGAGGTTAAGTGACTTGCCCAGAATCACACAGCTAGTAAGTATCTGAGGTCTGATTTGAACTTGGGTCCTCTTGACTCCAGAATTGGTGCTCTATGAAGTATACTACTTAGCTGACCCTGAAAAAGAGGCTTTTCAAAGCAAAAGAATTCTTCCATTTATCACCCCTCCCCCCAGCGCTTGACTGTGCTTCAGGTTTTTGAGAGGAGGAAAACATGCCTGGAAATGGAGCTTCTCTCCCTCTTAGACCTCATTTCCCAAAGGCAGGAGACAAAGGGAACAGGGCTGGCCTCAGGACAATTTTGAATAGTTTTGTCTTTGGTGGACTCCCTCAATAACAACTCTGTTCTACCCTCCCACCTTCAGTTATAATCATAAAAGCTTAGAGCTGGAAAGGACTTTAAAAAGACCATCTGGTTTTTATAAATAATTGTTTTTATTGTTTTATATAATATTATATTATTTAGTAGATAATTTATAAACAAATTTTCAAATCCATTGAAGAAATGGAAGCCTAGAGTGGTTAAGTGGCCTTCTTAAAGTCATACAGCTAGTTAGCCAGTAAACCCAGTGTCTGAGACCATCTCCCAACTCTGCTCATTTATCTTCTTGTTGCTATGCAAATACTTAACTTGCTATCTCTTCAATGTTATGAATAAAGGTTTTATAGAGGCTATTTATTTTGTTATAGCATTTTGTGATTACACAGCATGTCCCAAAAGTCTCAGTACGTTTTAAAACTTTAAAGCTTAAGTCTGCACTAAGACTTTTGGGACATCTTCTATATCCTTTTCTAATTATTAAAGAAATAAAACCTTGGTTTCAGTTCCCTTTCTTTCAAGTTGCCACGGACTTAATGCCTCCCATTACGTTACATAGAATGACCTCTTTCTCTCCCTCAATGACTCTTTACCTCCTTCCTCCCCGCTGCCCCCACATTCAAAATTCTCGAGTATGTGCTATTAACTTTGCATTTATTAGAGAGAACTTTCCTACTGAGGTTTCTCTGACCTGAAAGAATGATCAAACTCTGAGGATCTTCCCCTCCCAGACGGATTCTTTTATGAAGGCAAAATTAGGCCATATGTGGCCTCAATTCTTATCTAGCCTTAAATTACTGAATGGGTGTTGCCTCAGACAAACTGAGACTGGAGAAAGACCTTAACTTAAAAAGACCAAGGTCCCCCACTGCATCTGGGGCCATCTCCAGTTGTCTTGACCTATGTCTTGCTGCTGGACTCCAATGACTCTGGAGGAGAGAGTGAGGCTGATGACTTTGCCCAGCTCTGCCTCACTTAAATACAATTCACTTGCAAGTGAAGACATCATGTTCCTGATCATTGGTCCTCTTTAAGAGCAAAGGAAGAACAACAATTAGCAGATACTCCAAAGTGCCCACCTTTAGATGATCAGTGGAAATGAAAAAAAAAATCCTCTCATATTGACTGGGAAGGAAATCAGAAAATCACTGCTCAAGAGGTAGTCAATGAAGTAATCAACAAGCATTTATTAAATACCTACTATATGCCAGGTACTTTCTAAGCCCTGGAAATGCAAAGAAATGCAAAAATGAAGCAGTCTTTGCTCTCAAGAAAATTATTTACATTCTACACAAAGATATAACATGTACACATAACCATATATACAGAATACACATGAAAAAAATAAATACAAAGCAGTTTAGGGAAGGATGACACTCACAGGTGGAGGGAGAAGAGGTTCAGAAAAGTCTTCATGTAGACAGTGGTGCATGAGTTGAGTCATGAGGTAAGTAGGTTAGGGATGAGGAGGAGGAGGGAGAATCTACCGGGGATGGAGTGGACAGACAGTAAAAAGGGCATAGAAACTGGAGATGCAGAGCCATGTACCATGTGCAAGAAGACTTATTTGGATGCCCCAAAGGGTTCAGGAAAGGAAGTAATGTGTAATAAGGCTGAAAAGGTTGGGGCCAGGCTGGGAAGGTCTTGTAAAGGCAATAAGTTCAATTTGTCCAGCCCTAGGAACATTATTAGTGAAGAAAAAGAGGAAACAACATCAATGTCTCTTAAAGTAGCTTCCTCTGAGAATTAACCAAAGCAGCAAAAAAAAAAAAACATTGAGTATTTTCTTTCTGTCTCTGATGGGGCCTAAGAACTCAGTAACAAAAGGGACTCGGTTCCCTACTCCCCCAGGAGTTATTTGTCCTTCATAGGAAGGAATGTCCAATCATATCTTTGATGCCTTTAAACATTTACATGACTTGTGGCCACATCAAGTCCTAAAAAGATATGGATCATAATAGTCCAATGGGACTTATTGCTGGCACAGCATTGGTGGAATTGGGCTTGTCTGGTAAGATGGTAGTTCCCATCCAAGGGAAAGATGACAACAACAACAACAATGTGTTTCCTATCTTCTTTCCCCCTTATGGATATGTAGGAGGTAAAAGAAGTAGAGTCACAATAGTGGTCTTTACTGGCTCATATGCATTTTTCTTGAGAAGAAAAGAAAGGAATGATTTGTGTAGCTTTGGGTGGACTTGGCCGCAAGAAGCAAGCAATACTCGGGACTTCGGTTTCTCTGGGCATCTCTTTTACAAGCTAAAGGTTAGTCCCTCCATTTTCAGTTCTTGGGCAGCTTCTCAAATGACCACATCCAGTACGAATCTCATCTCTACAACATCCACCCTGCCATCACCATGGGGTTGTATGAATGCTCTGGAGCGTTCTTTCAAATACCACTATTGTCACAAGTGGCGTCTTCTCTGCTAACACTAACTTGGGATAACTGACATGGTTTTTCCTTCCAAAGCCTCTTGACAATTTTTATTATTAGCAGCTGACTCTTGGTACACATGCGTCATAAGTGCCTGGGAGGCATTCTTGGCCTTGGCCCTCCACTGCCTCTCCTCCTCCTCCTCCTCCTGTTACTACTGCACCAGCCACCTCTGCCATCAACATGCCACTCACTGAAACTTCATAGGATGGTGGAATATCTCTGTGGCTGTCAGTGTCGTCCATGAATTCTAGGCTGCTCTCAGTATACAGGGGTGGTGGGATGTTGAAGGTCTTCTGTTGCAGAGGGATCTGCTTTTCAGGATCGATGCTGTCTTCATAAGATGGAGGATAAAAATCTGGCCTATTCAATAAAGCACACATACACACATAAAAATGCTTTAAAAATATTTGTATCAGTTGATACCAAATACACTGAGCTCTACGTCATATATCAAGAAAATATTCATTTTGAAACAGATGTCCTCTTTCATCACCACACACAGAAAAACACTTCACCATATCTATGTGACATGGTCTGAGAGGATGCTACTTACCCAAATACACCCTCTTTCTGGTTCTCACTTTCCATCAGTGATATATACTCTTTAGATGCCTATCAAGATTAAATTCCCTGGGTCAGCTAGGTGGCGCAGTGGATAGAGTACCAGCCCTGGATTCAGGAGGACCTGAGTTCAAATCTTGCCTTAGACACACAACACTTACTAGCTGTGTGACCCTGGTCAAGTCACTTAACCCCATTGCCTAGCCAAAAAAAAAAGATTAAATTCCCTGGGGCAGCTAGGTAGCACAGTGGATACAGCAGTGGCTCTAGAGTCAGGAGGACCTGAGTTCAAATCCAGCCTCACACACATAACACTCTGGGCTGTGTGACTCTGGGCTAGTCACTTAACTCCAAATGCCTCACAAAAAAAAAGATTAAATTCTCAGTTCATAGAGTCAAAGATCTAGAGTTGGAATGAGCCTCTAGTTCAACCTTCTCATATTATAGATAAGGGCACTGAAGTCTAGGGAAGTTAAGTGTCTTCCCTAAGGTCACACAAGTAGTAAGTGTCTCAGGGGGAATTTGAACCCAGGCCCTCTGAATCCAAATTTAGCACTGTTTTCACTGTAGTAAACTGAAAGAATTCTTTTCTATCAAGAGTAATGAGACCATTCAGAGAATAAATCTGGGATTATAACATTATTCCAATCAATCTCTGACATTAACTATGTTCCAACCTAGGAATTAGCAAACTGTGGTCCAGGGCCCAAATTCAGCCCATGGGCTATAGTTTGCTGACCCCTGTTTTAACTCATGAAGCCAACTGGTCTAGACCTTCAGCATCAATTAATATTGAGTGCAGGCTGCAAGACTGACTGTCCACAAACTGTACCAGGCACTTCCTATTTTTCCACTAAGTCCTTAACTTGAAGTACTTTCCTGGTTCTATAATTTAATCAATATGACTTCTCACCTTGTCTCTGTATTTCCATAACCCTAACATACAGGTCCTCTCCTGATCATAACGGTCAGTTCCCCGAGGCCACAAGTGTGTTAACTTGCCATTTGCTGGACAAGGATCATGCTTTAAGATTATTAACCTTTCAATTTTTGAGAAGTGAGATTTGAGAGCCCAGGTCATAGAAAATAAATAAAATAACTATTTATAATTATAAAAAAAAAGATTAACATTTCAATTAATTTTTGCACATGGCCCAAGACCTGTGTGATTCAGCAGAAGTGAAAGGAGCTTCATAAGACTAAGAATTAACTTGTATTTTTGTCCATTTTATGGGTTGCTATGACTGAAGAAATTCATCAACTAGTGACCAACCTTCTGGCAATAACCTTAATCACTTGGTTCTACAAAACCATATAGACAAAAGCTACCTAAGATCTTTTTCGAGGCAAGTCCCCCAATAGCTTTCTGCAAATGACAGCATGTAACTGGTTAGGAGACAGATGTAACTTGGAAAAAAGGTAATTTCCTGCTGGAAGGCATGTGTTATTTATTTATTTATTTATTTATTCATTCATTCATTTATTTATTTATTTATTCATGCATTCATTGACAAGATATTCATCAAATACCTTGATAGGCTTGTAAGAGATGCAAAAAAATAAATAAAAGACAATTCCTGCCTCAGTCAAGTCACTTTACCATAGGACATATGTGCTCATAGCTACATTACAAAGTAGAATATGAAAAATGCATAGAGCCATAAAAAAGTGTGATAATTGTGAAAGATCAAGAAAAATCTCTCGAAGCTATTTTTGATCCAGCCCCTCTACCTCCAATTTTCCTCAGTGATGAATCTTGACTCCTCTGTCATGAATGAGAAGGGGCTGGGGCAAGAGTGACGAGGAAACTTTGCTCAGCTTTATATTTATAGACCTAGCCATGACAGCACCTATGATGAGTGTTTGTGGCCTTGTAACCACAGCAGAGTAGGAACTGTTATTTGTAACCAACAATTCCACTCCAAATGTTACCAGGCCCAAGGCCAAGTAGCTGAAGGAATTGTCTACTGTACAGCACCCTTCTCAGTCGTCACTCAGAAATAGCTCGGACATTTCCACCCAGGGCTTTGGGTCACCTATGTAAAGCACTGAGAATCATTCCCCTCTCTTACCCTTGGTGGAAAGGAGGGCTGGTCTCAGATTGGAGCACAGCCTGAATAGCTAAGCCTGCTTGAGTTTGCCAAGATGTCTATGCTTAGGACATTTTTTTCCATTAAGAGTGGTATCTATGACTCCTTTTCTGGGGACAAGGTTAGCTTCGTGCATGGGCATAGGTAGTACTTTTCTCAATGGAGTGATTTGGGTGGGAGAGGGGATGCCCAGAAGACTGCATTCAGCACGAATCTATCTTCACTCCTCCCAACCCCCTGAGCCAGACATCAAGAATCTGAAATGCCACCAATGGAGATTCAGTCCTTTGAATTTTTTTTCTCTGTTCATCTTTTAGAGTTTCCAAACAAACACGGAGAGTAGAAGACAACATGGTTTAGCGGAGCTTGTGTGAGCCTTGGGGGTCACAAAGACCAGGCTTCAAATTTGGCACCTGACAATTCCTTTCTCTGAAATCCTAAACAAGTCTTTAAGAGAGGGGGAAAACCCCTTCAAAACAAACAAACCAAAAAACCTCTGCCTCTGGTTCAGAAGACCTAGGTTCAAATCTCACTTCTAATATTTCCTGTTTGTGTGACCTTGGGAAAGTCATTTAACTGTTCTAGGTTTTATCTTCTTCCTCCATGAAAAGAAGGGTTTGACTTAGATGATTTTGGAGTCTACCCTTCCAGCTCTTGGTCTATGGAACTCTCTTGAACCTGTTTCCTTATCTGTAAAAGGAAAATAAGAATCCTCAAAGCATCTAGCTTATAGGGTAGTTATAAGGTTCAAATGAGATAACGTATGAAAAATACTTTGCAAACTTTAAAGATATAGAAAGGTCAGTTATTCTTAAGACATAAAACTAATTCACACTTAAGCACTCTGGGACAATGAAGCAGTAGAAAAAGGATAAAAGAGAAAGGCATTAAAAGAATAGGGGAAAGGCCTTTATGAGACAAACTTTTGCTAGGTCACAGTTTTCCCTGTCTGGGGGCCCATAGGGCTCCAAGTCTAACATGAATCCCCCAGGTAATGAAATCTTTTGTCCCTGGAGGAACACATGGAAGTCCAACACTGTAATTGAATAGTGAATAGAAAGTAGTGAATAGAAAGCTGGCTCTGGAATCAGGAACACAGGGGCTCAGGTCTTGCTTTTGACATGTACTGGCTGTGTGATTCTGGGCAAACCAATTAACTTCTTGCTACTTCACACAAATCTCTAAGATTGTAAATTGTGGAAAAGGTGCCAATCTTCATTGGTGGAGGGAGTTTCCTCACCCTGGAGTTCCCTATACAAATGAAATCTGAGGTTCAGTTTCTCTCCCCACACCATAACTTTAAGTCAACTATCTAACTTTATGGCAACTCTGTCCCAGTTTCCTGCTGTCAGCAGTACTGGTGGCATCCCAGCTACAGTACCTGTCCACAGCAGGAATTTGCAGGTCCTCATGCCCTAGGTGCTGTCTGAGCACTCTGTTGAAGATGTGCTTGCTTTGGCTTGCCTGCTGGTAGGTGCTCCAAAAAATGCCACTCAAGAGGATCAGGAACCCCAGAGGCAAAAAACAATAGGCCAGGATCAGTTTCCCCCTGCAGTTAGAGCCTGACCCCATGGAAAAGAAGAAAGCCCCCAAACAGATGATCAGGAATCCAGTCAAGGGGGTGAGGCAGCAAAGGGTGGTGACACTCCCTCTCTGCATCCTCCCACTTCTGGAGCTGAGCTCCCGCTTCTGCCACTATCTTCCTTGCCTGCTCCCTGGGAGACGATGACTTCCGAGACAAGCCCCTCTTAGCTGCAGATTTCAAGGCTTTATTCACCCTGGGACCAACTGGCCTTTGGACAATTAAATGAAGCAGGCACTTATTAGCTATTCATTAACCATTGAAAGAAGCAGTAATATCCTTTAAGGATTAACCTATAAACACAAACTTGGCTTAATGTAGGAAGGAGAGGCACCCCGGGAGCTCCTTTGCCCTTCTGAGTTGGGCTTTCTGCTTAGCTGATTCCAGTTACTTGCCTGGAGGCTCTCCTGCTCTGTGGTTGAAAGAACACTGGTTTCTCCGAGTTGTTTTTCTTTATGGTTTCTTAATCCCCACTGTGGTAATGCTTCCATTAGAAACTCAAGAGATAGCACTCCTCTGCCAGCTATATTCTTTATGGCTTGGCAAAAGCTAAGTCCCTTCTTCCTATATTGCTTAAGAAGGGCCACACTCCTTATGACTTCTATTATTTGTTATCGTCCCTGTTAGATTTCTCTTCCCCGCCCCCCCCAATCTGTAATACCAGAACAGCTCTAAGTGAATAAAACCTGTTGGCAAACTGACTCACTTTCCATTATCCCAGTTCAAAGCATTTGTTCGTTCATTCATTCAGCAAGTGTTTATTGAAAGACAACAATATGGAAAACACATAGAAGGGCAGTGTGGAATACTACAGAGGTGTTCAACTCATGTAGGCCTCTGCAAAACTCCTGAGTGGGCCCGAACCAGATTAAAATATAAGTGAGAAATGTTTGGCAAAAATAAGTAAAAATACAATACAATATAGATAATGTTAATTTGTTGTTTTCTAAGTCAACATGTAGCTTATAGGGATGTTTCTATTCGAGCTTGTCATTACTGATATGGTGTTTAGAGAGTTGGTTCCTGATTAAAGAAAATATGGGTTCAAATCCTGCCTCTGAAATATATTGGCTGTATCTGTGGCAACTCACAAAGCCTCTCAGTACCCTAGGTACCTTGGAGTATAATAGGCAGAGAAAGAACCTTTCTGCATCTTTAGAAGGGGTTCCTTACTAAGAACTCACTACATTGATGAAATCGTGGGTCTGGTCCAAAAAAACAGTTCTGGGCACCAGAGATACAAAACTAAAACAGATCTGCCCTCAAGAAACTTATATTCTGTGGGGTTAGTATTACCATCCTTCAGACTGCCAAGCAGGAGAGGGAAACTATAGTTGAGCTGGGAATGTTGGGGCAGAACTTGGAGACTGGGGGAATGGTGGAGCAAAACCCACATAATTATGCAACATTAAGTACAAGGGCTTAGGAGCTTCCTGTTCCTTTTCAGGTTATGAGCAATTGTGATTGTTAACAAATTTGTGTGCTCTCTGACTCTAAAAATAACAGCTAGCTTCTTCATAGCATTTTAAGGTTTCCAGAGTTCTTTATAAATATTATCTGATTTTCACAACCCTGAGAAATCAGTGCTTTTATCACCTTCACTTTGAGGAAACTGAGGCAGGCATAGGTTTGGTGACTTGCCCAAGGTCATATAGCTAACTCTATCAGGCAAGATTTGAACTTCTTTCTTCCACCCTCCAAGTCCTTGCTTTGTGTTCTACCTGGCTGCTAGGTACATCATAGGAGCTCAATAAATGTGTTGGCTTATGGATAATCAAAAACCATTCCTAGCTCAAGGAGTCCTTATTATCAAAGGCATCAAATCTTAGAGAAGGGCCATGAGCCTGTGTAGAGAGAAAATGCATCAGTTACCATACTCTGGCATTTACTTGTTAGACTGCTGCATTATAATCTACTTGGAGGTCCCCAGCTAGCACAGTGGATAGAGCTCTGGGCATACAGTCAAAAATACCTTAGTTAAATTCAGCTTCAGGCACTTATTAGCTATGTGACCCTAGGTGAGTCACTTAACCTCTGTTTACCTCAATTCTCTTAACTATAAAGTAGAGATAAGAAGAGTACCTACTTACCTCCCAGGATTATGATAGGGATCAAAAGAGATAATATTTGTAAAGCTCTTAGCACAGTGCTGGCATATGATGGGGGCTATATAAATACTTTGTTATCAATTGTTGTTATTCTTGTTGCTAACCAGAAGATCTCCCATGAGATGGCCCTGATTCCCCTTCCTACTAGTCTAGGTGAGAATGAGAAGAAGAGGTTTTTCATTCTCTTTGCAGATAAGACAAGTAGATCTTAAAAGATCTTTTTCATTCAGCATATACAAGGGTGGGATACTGCAAAAATAAATTAATCAGAAGGTCTCAGTTCCTATTCCAGGTCTTCAATTTCATTCGTTCATTCATTCACTCACCACTTACCCAAGATGAAAAAAGAAGTAATATTTACCCTTAAGGAGTTTGCAGTCTATCACATTTCCTATAAATGATCTTAAGTGAGTGCTTGAGGTATACACAGAAATCTGGAAAGATGCTTATGAAATAATGCAAAGAAATCAAAAGCAACAGAATAAAGTGCCAAACAGCTTCAAAATTATTCAAAGAAAGAATAGAGTACCTGCTCACTATGAAGTAATGAGAAAGGAAGAAAGGATGGTAAGAAGGAAGGAATGGAGGGAGGGAGGAAGAATGGAAAGAAGAATGAAAGAACAAAAGAAAAAAGACAAGAAGGAAGGAAAAAAGAAAGAAAGAAGGAGAGAGAAAATATCTTTCTTAATATCTATGAAATAATGCAAAGTGAAAAAATAAAGGAACGTACAATAAGTACTACCACTTCACAGGAGAAGTGAATGAGAACCAGAGGAAGAATTTTGATCAGGACATGGACTGCCTAGAAAATTCTTATGCTACTATATGAATTGAACTTAATGAAAACGTAAATAGTTACTGAGAAAGTTTCACTAATATTATTGATGTGCATTGTTAAACATTTAGTAAAACTTTTTTTGAGTAGATTAGCAATATAGCATTAGACCATTTAAAATACCTAGACAGTATAAAATACCTGAGTGTATGCCTGCCAGAACAGACATAGGAACTACATGAACATGAACATAAAACACTTTTTATACAAATAAACTCAGATCTAAATAATTGAAGTAATATTTATTATTCATGGGTAAGTAAAGGCCAATAAAATTTTAAAAATTACAATTTTACCTAACTGATCTATTTGTGCAATGTCATCCCAACTAAATTACTAAAAATGTATTTTACTGAGTTAGAAAAAATAATAACAAAATTCATTTGGAAGAGCAAATGGTCAGGAACTGCAAAGAGACCAGGAAAAAAAGATGTAAAGGAAGTAGATTCAGCAGGATCAGACCTTAAACTATATTATAAGGGAGAGCATTATTGAAGTGTAAAAATGATAGTTTCGATTATTTTAAATTAATTTTTGTATAAATAAAACCTTTGTAGCCAAGAATAGAAGGAATGCCAAAAATTGGGGGAAAACTTTCAAAGACCATCTCTCAGATAGGATATGATTGGGTTGGATTATTTCTGTGGGGTAGGAAATGATTTAGGGTTGATTTAGGAAAACATGGAAAGACTTGGACCTATGAAGGAAGGTGCTATCCACCCTCAAAGAAACAGATGACATGTGGAAATAATCATATTTATTATGTCTTGCATATATGTGTATGAGTGTATATGTATATATATGTATTGTTAACCGGAAAGTTTAGTTAAAGAAGGCAAACAAGTTAGGTGATACAATTTTTGTGTAAAAATCCAAATTTGAGATCCTCTTACCTAAACATGCTTAAAGCTTGGATTTCCATGATAGATACATTTTGGAAGCCAATCATATACATCTGTATATAATTCTTAGAGGAATCAGTATAATCCTGTTGCTTTTCTCAAAATTTGCTATCCTATTTAATTAGACATCTATCACATTACATCCTTGTCTTATTATTTTGTCTAAACATTTCCTCCTTAGGAGGATGATGTTCCTATATCATTATTACTTGGCCATGAATGTAAGTTCAGATTGTAAGCTATTCATACTTGCATCGTATTGTGATAACTCAGGGATGTTCCAGAAGGTCAAGGTCATATATCATATCAGAAGGAAAGAACTTCCTTAGCTCTATTTGATTTCAGGCATGAATCATATCTGATAGCCAATCATATAGTCACTGGATGTTAAAGGCAGGGCTTAGGATTAATTAGGTGGGGAATTTTCCTTTTCAGAAAAGAAATAGTACAATTGGGAAATAGAGTCAGGAAGATCCTACCTAGGCTGTGTCCAAGGTCGTCCTCAAAACTCTTCCCAGACACAGACATCCACCTTTATCAGTTCTCAGCCTGCAGCACATGCCATCCTACTATTGGCTTCATGACAACTCAGACAATTATCCTGGTAATCAAAGCTCAAAACAACAGTAAATTTCTGTCCCATAAAGTCACATATCCTAGATAATAAGAATTTAATCTCACATTTGTAACAGTAAGAGACTGATCACAGAAAAATACTACCATTCTCATAATTCCTTTAAACAATGGGAACATCTTTAGGTGAGTTTTCAGAAGTTTGTATAAATTTCTGCACATGTTCGAATTCCAGATTGATAATAATATTAGATTTCCCATTAAGTTAACACAAAAGAGCTCATAAATTACTACTCTTCACTAACATAACTGCACTGGAATCCTAATCCTTAAACAAAACAAAGAGGTTACTAACTTTAACCTCAGAAGTTGATGGATTTATGTCCTTGTTCACAAGCTTGTTTATTCTTCTCTAATTATACTCACTCTGAAAGAATGAGATATTTCAAGATTTGAATCTTATACATATAAGTTCAAACACTAATTTAACTCTTGCTTAGGCCATGAAGTGACTACAGATTTGGATCAAAACAGCAAGATCTCTTCTGCTTTACAGCTCATTACAATAATTTAGCAGTAAGTTATCTTGCAAATGAAAATTTTGTAGGCCTCAAAAAAAAAATCAAACAAGACATATCTTCTGAAAATATTTCCCTTCTTTAAAAACAATTTAAAATTTGTCCTGATGTTAAGAAGAATAATCACTAAACTTTTATGAAGAACATTTGTTAGAAATTTTTAAAGTGACTAATATCTTTCCTTTCCACCTTAAAGTAAAAATAA